GCTCAGCTAAACAGGGGCACATTGCATAGTGTTTGAAGAGTAGAGATGATTATAGGATCATAGAATCATTAGGGCTGGAAAAGACCACAAAGGTCATACAGTCCAGCTGTCCACCAGTACTGCCCACTGACCACATCCCTCAGTGCCACATCTCCACGTTTCTTGAGCATCTCCCAGGACAGTGACTCCACCACCTCCCTGGGCAGCCTGTGCCACTGCATCACCACTCTTTTTGAGAAGAAATTGTTCCTAATTTCCAACCTGAACCTCCCCTGGTAGAACTTGAGGCCATCACCTCTCATCCTATCACTGTTACCTGTGAGCTGAGGCTGAGCAATCCCATTCCCTCAGCCTCTCCCTGTAGGACTTGTTCTCCATACCCTTCACAGCTTCATTGCCCTTCTTTGGACACACAAATGGTGCTAATTTCCATCTGCTCTTTTTGCCACATAGCATTTTCACAGGTAATACTTAACAGCAATTCTAAGAAGCCCCTTTGTGAAGCCCAACTACACCATCATCTGAATGAATGAAGTGGGCATTGAAGGAGCAGATCCTTTATGAGGTTAATTAGCTAAGGAACTTTAATATGAAATTCTTATCCTTCCCACCAAAAGAAAAAAGACTGCATAATAATGGCAATTAAAAGAAAAGTTAAAAAAAAAAAAGGGGGGAACATTTCTGTGTAATCATTAAAAATGTGTTCGGCAATTACACATTTATTGTCTGTATATAAAATGAACAATTCAGAGGGTGAACATCAGCTAAAGCAATTAAGAAAGGTGTTTATTTTACCAAGGCTTCTCCATTTCAATTTCAGGAGTGAAAATCTATCAGTGAGCTTGCAGTGGTTTTATTCCTGTTTTTAATTACAGCCTGTTTCCAAAACTGCCTACACCTGTCCTAGGCACTGCTGCATTTGCATGTGCTTCTGCCTTGAGCCCCCTCCAGTACAGGGAGGGTTAAAACCAATATTTGTAGATAAAGAGGTAAACATATTTACATTCAGTTTTTCACACTTTATGCATATGTCATGCAGTGAATAGTTTTAGAGGTATGTTTGTACTATCTCTCCAGAATTTTTACAGTCTGCAGGACACAAAATCTCTATAAAGTGACTTATTGAAATAGAAGCAGATTGGTAAAACCGTTTCTCTCTTATGAACTGTGAAGAATGATCCTCTAAATGAAATCAGGAAGGAACTGGACAGAATCTTGTTTAATGGTGTGACAAAATGAATCACAACTATTCCAAGCATCCATCACTGCTAAAAGGGGACCACAAATGATCTGTGAACTACTATATATTGATTACTCATGTACTACAAGTGTCGGATTTAATGTTCACACACCATGGAAAGGCGGCAGGGACAGATGGTGCCTTAACTCTTCTTTGATAGATTTTAATGGTGAAATATTGATTTCTATCTGGCCAAGGCCTGTTGTTAGGGGCCAAAGTCATTTGTTGGGTATAGCTGGACACCCAGTCTGCTTGGGGTCATCAATCATTTTTGGCAAGGCAGGTGAAATTCTGAGGAGAAGCACCTTGCTTCCCAAACCACCTCACGACGAGGCTGTGCGCATGCACACCCCCTCCTCTGCTATGTGGGCAGACAGAAGCCTCCATGAAATTGTGCTTGTAAAGAATTATTAATGATAAGACATGTTTACTGAGGAGAGTCACAGCGAATCAGAGCTGACATGAAATAGTCTGGGAGCCTCAGAGAGAAAATGAGCTTCTCGCTAAAAGGGACTATATTTTATTTAAACATCCGTCTAGGGCTGAGAACTCAGGTAATCTGTTGTGTTACAAGCCACTGGCTGTTCTTGCCATCCAGAGAGATAACAGTGAGGAGCTAATAGGAACACATCAATCACAATCAGGCTGCAATTCCACCGGTGTCTCCTCTTCCCGGCTCCTTTTTAAGCTCCTTAATAACGATGATAACATAGTTCTGGGCTTTGCGAGAGGGCTGCTTCCCTTTGAGGGTCATATTCATAAAGCGGGCGGCTTGTGGAGTCAGCATCTCCCCGCGATGGAGAGGGCGGTGGGAGGGGAGGGGCGGGGGGGCAGGCGGGCCGGGTCCCCCCGCCATAAATCCGCAGACGCTCGTCTTTCCCTCATCGGCCTTCCCAGGAGAGGATTGCTGCTTGGAAGCGGGAAAGGGCAGCCGCTGCCCAGCTGTACCCCAGATGTGGGAAGCCGGTTGAGGCTGATTTTTCGTTTAGATTATCTTGCTTACCTAATGATTTTTGCTTCACTGCTCAGCTCGATTGTGTTCACTAGGACGGCAGGCTATTAAAATGTCAAGGCGCATTGAATTGTTGTTATCAAGGAAAGAGACCTTTCCAATCAGCCCACGTTCCCCGGGTTGCATAAAGGCGAGGAAGAGATCAGAGGAGGAGGAGGAAGAGCTCCTTGGTGCTGGGTGTGTGCACGGACGTAGGCAGATGCGTACCTGTGCCTGCTGGAGCGCGCTGCGATAATTAAAATGCCACCTTCTACAGCAGGCATTAGACATTGCTCTCGTTCGCATCATACAGGGGAGATGAAACTTCTCCCCATTGTGCTTTCCGCCACAATCCTCGCAAAGAAAATACGGGGAGGAGGAAAGTTGTGTGGCTGAATCACTGGCTCTGCATACTAAGGAGCTGCTGGGCAGGGCTGAAGGAGAAAAACAAAGGCAAATGCCTTCCTCATGTCTGCACCTGCCTTAAGGCTTGATAAGAAAATAAGTTCACTGACCTACTGGGAAAAACACTGGAGATTGTCCGGTATCACAATATTGAACAATTGGTGACAGGATGATACAAACCCAGCACATTTGGAGACACAAAATCCCATACCTCCCGTCACCACCACCACCTTGCTCATATAATTGCAGAGCAGTTTATTATACAGAAGCACATCAGATATTGCCGTGGATTGATTTTTTTCTTTCTTCTCTTGTAAACTATACAGTACATCATATTGGTGGGGAAAAATATATATATATTCCTTGGATTTACTTCTTTGTTTAAATCATTTCACAAATATTTTGCTTTTCCCCTGTCACTTCTTTTTCATTTTTATTTAAAAAAGATGGCTTTGTTTTTGCCTGTATATAGTTTTGTAGAATAATGACATCTATCCCGTCCCCCATGCATCAAGCATCATTGATTGGCCACAACATCATTGTCACTACTGGGTGTTCATCTTCACACTTGCTGCTGGCAGGTCCCTCATCTGCTCACCCTCTCTGTCTCACACATGCCCCATCCCTGGGCCACACGCTGGCTCCCAGCAGGCGTGCCTGTGGTCTCTTTTCCCCTAATGCACATTTTCCTCTGCCTCTCCCTCCCACTGACCTTGGCTTCGTGTGAGGCCAATGGCACACAGCACAGCACAGCACTCGGCTTTGTCTGTGTTAAGCAGCCAGAAGAAAACTGACCCTTCCCTCTGTTTCCATACTGTCCACACCAATTCATGGAAGTTTCACAAGGTGTGGCTCCCCAGCATGCTCATGCACAGGTTCGTGTGGGAACCTGTGTGGGACATCACTGACCATCAAGTCCAGCTCCTGGCTCCACACAGCACCAAAAATCAAACCCTATGTCTGAGAGTGCTGTACAATCATTCCTTCAACTCCAGCAGCTCTGTGCCCACCGCCCTATGGGGCAGAACCTTTACTTAACGTCACCTGACCCTCACCTGGCATCTCCAGGGACATCTCCAAACAAGCTGCGCCAAGTTCCTTGCTGTCCGGTCCATGCCCTCAAAGCGGACTTCAGAGGCTTTGCAAAATGACTGATTTTCACAAAGATCTAAATTTAAGTGCCAAAATCTGATTTCAGACTTAATTTTGCATCTGGACCTTTGTGTAAGGAGAGAAGGTCCAGTAGTGGCTTCAAATGGTTGAAATGTAAGTTCAGTGGGAAATGGTTCTTGAGCTCTGCAAAATCCCCTGCGTTAAGATTAAGTCAAGGCTGATATATCTATCAATCACTGCAGCATGAGATACTCCAAACAGATGTAATTATCCCCCAAGCAAGTCATAGAAAGCTTATAAGTCACAGAAACCTCAACTGAAGTTAATTCAGTTAAAATAACACTTAAGAAAAAGACACTGGAAAGTTCCCCCATTCCTCTTGCAGTGTAATGCAGTAACCTTATAATTATGATTAAAACTTTATTTCTTTGGCTTCAGAAGTCATGCTTTTCCCCTCCTGTACCCTTAGGGGTTGAGGACAAAGATTTTTGGGATGCTGAAACGAGATAGCTGTGTCCCATTGGAAGGCAGATCCATGTGCTAGTGAAGCATCTGTGCAGGGAATGGGAGCAGAGCAGGATGCTCGTAATGGAGCACCTTGAAGAAACTAAGCTAGCTCTCAAAGCAGAATAATTGGTGTAGCAGGAGGCTGTGCCCCTGGTAATCGTTTTTACTGAGATGAAGCTTATTAACATGTGCACTGGTGCATCTGCATTGCCTCTGGGACTCCAGCCCTGCATGGTTCCCCACCGTGCTGCACAGAGTTTTTACCTTCCTCTGACCTTGCTACAGCTCCTTTGTCCTGCTCTGTGCTCTGAGTTACCTCTCATCTCACAGGCTTACACCCTGTATTTTTAAATCCAACCCAATCTTTTCATGTTTCTCTTATGGTAAATATCTCAGAAGTGTTGGAAATATAGTCTGTCCCATTATTACAGTGCATTGGGTTTGTGGAAAGTTTGTTGTGCATTGCACACTTTGAATAATGCCCATCTTTAAGCTGAAATTTTAAGCCATTAGAAATGATCACAAAGCCTTACTCTGTGCTTGGTTGGATGTATGGAGGGGTATATGGTAACTGTTGAGTTATAGCCTGAACCACTGATTGAGCACCTGGGGAAAGGACCCGGTCAACCCTGGGAGCACAGGTGAAGGCAATCCAGCTCTGTGACCAGAAGGGGTGGAGCCTGGCTGCACCTCTCTTAGACCCCATTTAAGGGCTGCCTGACTCTAAGGAAGGTTCTCTGGTTGGAAATCCCTGACTGGTGGAGTTTTCCATCTGAGCCTGGATCTTCAGAGGTGGGTGAGCACCTTGCTTTTGTAACACCTTTCTGTCACACCAGCCTTTTTGTTGTTTTGCTGCATTGATCTTTCTGATTGTTCAGGGGGAAAGGTGCATGTGTTTATACTGTAAGATCACATAGACTCAATCCCCATTTGAGAGAGAAAAAAGGAAAATTCAGTACTGGTTGTGTCCAGACTATACTTAGTATTCTTCAGAGGAATAAAAGTGTAACTTCTTGAGACTTATGTGAAACAAGTCCGGAGGCAACCAAGATCTCTCTGCACTTGTTCTTTGGTGTGCACTGGAAGCCAAATCCCAACCTCTTCCTTCTGATTTACTGTAATAGTACAGCTGAGGCAGAACACAGATTGGTCAGGGTGTTTTACCTCTGATCATCACTCATGAAGACTATAACAAAGTCTGGGTAAGGTACAAGACAAGCAGGGCTCATTGCACACAGAGTCCAACCCCAAGATATTAAATGTCCCAGAGACATTTACCTTTGAACAGAGGGTTTGCAGGGGGAAGGAAAAAAGGAAAGTGACGCAAATCTGCCAGACTATAAGCAACCCAACTGGGGCAGCAGCAAACATCAGCAGGTTTTGATGCTGGGGCCAATTCCATGTGGAAGTCCCAGGTATCCTATGCCTAGCAGTATAACAGTAGCTGGAGGTTCTCTGAGGCCTCATTTGACTGAGTTCTGCATTAGGATTCACCACCTGGTAATGCTGTGGGTGCATTTTGGACAGTTTTAAAATGTTATTTGGAGACTCAGCCTCCATCCTTGCACTGCAAGCCATGTCTCAGCATAGCCCCATGAGTTTTTCCACTCACAGTCATCACATGAGAATTAGTGGATTTTGCTGGCTCATTTGTTTTGTGAAATCTGGCTGTTTTGCACTGAATGCAGTACATCTCCAGCATATGTGATTCAAATCAAAGCAATCATCCTACACAGTGTAAATCAATGAGATGAAATGTAGCCATTGACAGCACTTACAATTTTGTCCATTACTATGAAATCCTCTTTCTTTAAATAGAGGTGCTTTTATGAGTCCATTGAAGCATAGCTGACAAAGCCTTCAGTCCTGGCTATTGCCGAAATAGCACAACACATAACAATTATAAAAGATACACGTGGTGCATATATTTATACAGATTAGAATAAGCACTTTGTTAAATTGCTGTAGTGCATTTGTCCCTTTTCCAGAGTTCTTAGGAACCTTGGATATTTGCTCTTCCCATGAGTAAAATAAACATGTACCTGTGGGCTTACCAAAACTCTCAGCCTCTCCATGTGCTGACAGAGCAAAAAGTGTACTTCTACAGCTATGTTAAAAAAAAATGAAGGTAGTGTAATTATTCCTTATGCTAATATAATAAGCTAGTAAATGTTTCTACACTTCCTGTAGGTCTAATTACATTTCAGTAATGTGAACGATCCCTGGAGCTGCTGCTGTTAAATATTTTTGGAGCAGGAGCAGGGGAGTTTATTTGTACACACCAGAGGAACGTGGATTTGAAAAACAGCATAGTAAGGCTCTAAAGCAGCAGGGCTGCTTCTGACATCTGAGTAACTTCAGGCAAAGCAGGAATTCCTAATCAGTATCATGTAACAATTTAGAAAGGCAGCCTTGACTACCCACTGACTTCTGAAAGAGGCGTATGGTTTCAGGCCAGGTGCTGACACAGGCACAGCCATGCCATTCCTTGCTGCTGCATCTCTTCTTCATGCTCTTCTCCCTTGGTGATAGCAATGCATACAATATTATGCAACTGAAGTTGCTGCACAGCCTCTTGTATTTAATAAAATATAAATGCTGTTCACTCAATGTGCCAGTCAACCTTGCAGTGCTGGTCCAGGTGGAGCCACTCTGAACAGATCAATCTGGCTTCATTAGCTACATCTGTGAGCATGGACTGGTGTGTCCTGCTTGAGCTGTTTGCTCTGAATTGGCTCTGCACCATGGCTGAGTTGCTGCAGAACAGGTAGTTGGGGCTGGGGTTAGGAGTAGCAGTAGCAGTGTAATAAAGCTGTTTGCTGCTGCAGGGAGGTAATGAGTGATGTTCTATCAATTAAGGGCCAGTAGAGGAGGTGGGTGTGACAGAAATGAACTAAGGGTGTGGAAAAAAGGGAAATCCATAGTTGGGAAAGAGAGAAAAGAGAAGATTGTTCTTTTTTCTCTGCCCTCAAATGTGACATTTAAAGTGAAAAGTATAGGTGAACATTTTAGGGAGTTAGAGCACTGGGGACAAATTGTATAGGAGGTATGGGGAACTAGGAATACTTAACTTCTAATTATTTATTTTATCCACTGAAAGTTTCAGTTTTACTTTCAATGTGTTTATCGAAGATGGTCGGAGATAAGGTCAGACAGCTCTGTCTTAAACTAGCCTGTGCTGCTCATAGCTTTTTATTGAAATCTCTGTGTCCTGAGTTTCCCATTCAGTGCCAGACTCCTCCCACACCTGCAGCTCTTCTAACCTGAAACTTATGGCAGACTGTTTCTCTTCTTTCTGGGAGAAGAACAAAAGCTTCCTTCTTGAAGAGCTGGAATGCAAGCACTCTGCTTAAAGTGCTTTCCCACAAGGGTTAATGTTTCTATTGTGAGAAGTAGGAATAATAATACTAATAACTAACTTCTCAATTGAAGCAAAGCTCTCCAGGGCACTTGCTAGTTGACCACTCAATAACCCATACCAGGGATACTGGAGGGATGTGGCAAGAGCAGGCTGTCTCTGCAGTCTGTTCCATGCAGGATCAGACTGAAATGTTAGGAAATAAGTTACAGACATTTGCACAGACAGCCAAAAAAACTGTGGAATAGCTTTCTGAGCTGAGCTCAAGACCTCTCTTGTGGAAGCTGCCAATGAATGCATGCCTGAGATGACGTATTTTTTTCTGTCTACACACCCCCTTTCTCCTTGTGATCCCTTTCTATCAGGAAGAAGAGTTTAAGGAGGAGAAAGGGACCTGAGCCAAAAGTCTGCTAATTCTGGAAACAGCTTGGGTCTGAGGTTTTGACTTAATTTATCTTTACCTGATGATGTGAGTGAACTACAACCCTCTTGACTTCTGCAGTGCTATCCAAGGCTAAAATTGGGATATACCTGATCCACAAAGGAGCCATTGTACAGCATGTTGGCATTCGATCATATTGGAGAATGAAAGCCATATTTGAGTGAGGCCTACAAGTGCCTCACTACTGCACTGTAAACAACTGGATATTACAGTAATGGACAAGGCTTTGAGTGCTATGAACAGCTTCACATTCACTTTATTGATTTGCAATGTGCACTGTGATGGTTTGCTGTAATAAATATAAATGCCATAGTGTAGAAATGTCAGAACAACTTATTAAAAATGTGTCTCTTCCCTGTTTGTGCAGTATGGCATGTGTTTCTGCACAGCTGCAGGATTGTGGCTAGGGGAGAATGAGGCTGTGGCTCAAAATTCTGCATTGCAAGAATATAAATTCAGTGCATAAACAAAATGTGTACTGGGCAGCCTTTCCTTTTGCACTGTGCTTCTGTATAACAGAATTGAGTTCTGTGTCTCAGAACACATTTCATATTACAGAAGTGAATATACTTTTCTCATGTCTCATGAAGGCTGAGTTGGTACCAGGTCTCAGCTCACATACCAGAGGCAGTTGTTTGGCCATTTAAAAAAGCAGTAAGTGCCAACATTTTTCTTAACACTACAATAGCTTTATCTCAGCAGGCAAATCTTTCAGCCTTTGGTAATACTGTAGGAGAAACAAGGCTCTATTGTAGGAGACTACACATGTGCTGGGGATGTGTATGCAGTCACATGTGTGTATCCCCTGCTCCCATGTATAGAATAACTGCCTTTCACCAGATTAACAGTTCTATACACCACCTGTACTCCAAGCTGTTTGCACAAGACTTCTGTGTGGATGCTGAGTCTTAAATGTGGGTTTTGTTCTGGAGTTGATCATCTGGCCCTCAGCAGCTCCAAGTCCCTGGGTAAGCTGGTTGATGACATAAAGTAGGGAAATGTGTGATTTATTATGGACCCCTGGTCCCATCACTGCTAGCAGAGGTCATTGCCTTGTGCGCTATTGCTCCTGACTGCTGAAAATAATTCTTTAAGTATTTGATTGTCATCATCCTGTGTGCTACCTGGAGCAGGACAAAGTTGTTTTCTCATTTACTGCCTGGTGTGATATCTCCACCTTTCCCTTATAAATGTATTCCCTGCAGCACAAGAAAAGGATTTTTACAGAAAAACTGGAGGGAGAATTGCATTATTTCAGATGATACAACTTCAGACCATTAACAGAGGGGCTTACTTTTTATTACCTTTGTTCGTTTGTTTGTTTGTTTCAGAAGAGATTAGGTCAGTGTAGTATCAAGATCCAGATCTCAAATGGTACAAAACTCTCATATAGATGTCTGTCTTGTTGATTTTGGTGAAATACGCATAAAACTTACTGTCTGATGAGGCACAAAGCACTTTAGGATTATTGGGACATACAGAGATGCTCAGAGTGCAAAGCCTTGATATATAGTGTTGGCTATTCAGCATATTAAGCATGAGCTTTTCTTACTGACTTTTCTGCAGAAACCATTGGTGCCTGGAGAAAGCTGTCGGCAGTCTGTACCAGAGGCTCTATGCAGTGTTAAAGAGTTTCAATAAGAAACTGAAATACTGTTTTAGTCAATGGAGCCAGCATAAATCTGGGGAGGAGAGAATCAAACCTGAAAACTGACTTAGAGATTGTACCGCTATACTTGCTCAGAAGAGGCACAGATGCAGAATGTGTGCTTGTTCAGAGATTTCCAGTCAACAAGAGGTTTTCTTAATATAGTTTCAGAATTGGTATATTTCTTCTAGCAGGATAAATTTAATACGTCTTTTTTTTTTTTTTTTTCTAATAAATAATTAAAAATATATATTTCAGTGACAGAGTGAGAATTTACTGATGGAAAACTGCTCCCAAGTCTGTTAGTGGAAGAAAATGAGAGTGGAATTGGGGGAAAAAAAAAA